TTTGTTTAGTTTACATCAAATGCAATGGTTCTAAAGTGCAGGACTTTGTTGTTTTTCCCAATGGTTCTGGTGAAATGCGAAATCTGTAAATCCATGTAATTAATACAAAAAATTTATTAAAAATATTTTAATTATCTGTTATGAAGATACATACAGATTACGCACATACCCTGTTCAACTATAAATTCCGGCTACAAATATTTTGTGAGAATTCTTGTTTATTTATTTAAAAACGTGAGAATTTTCGTATTTAAATTTTCGTATTTAAATTTTCGTATTTAAATTTTGATTTAATTAAAATTTATTATATCTGCTATATCAGTTTTGAGCACATTTTTAAAATATAGTAGCCTAATTCCTTTCTTTGACTAATTGTTTGTGAAAAAAATTTCTTTTTTTCCTATAAATTTTAAAATTTTTTTGTTTATGTGTACTAGCACAAAAGTAATATAAGTATAAATCAAGTAAATGTTTGTGACATTGCAATAAGCTCCTATTTGTTTCACCGAGGTTTTTTTTTTTTTTTTTTAATTCTATAAGGAGTTACTTTTTTAAATCAATCAAAATTCATGTAAATTTTTTTTTTTTTTTTGTGATACTATTAGTCAAGTGATAATTAATAATTTTTTTTTTTGCGGAAAATCTTTTTTTAACGCCACTTAAAAAAAGAACAAATCTGCTTTATTTTCTTTTCTTTATATTGTGATAACGTTTATAACGTCATAACACTAGAAGTTCAGGAGGTAATCCTTAATTTGATACATATTGATGATGCTGTATTGTTTACATACATTCTTTTTTTCGATATCGATATGCAATAATTTTCTATGAATAATTTTCAATGAATTATCTTCAATGAATTATCTTCAATGAATTATTTTCAATGAATTATTTTCAATGAATTCGCGATTCTCTCTGCATAAAGGCATTCACATAGTTTAATGAAAACAACCAGTTTTTTTTTTCTTTTTGTTCATGAAGTTTTAAAATTTATAATAATAAATCAAATTTTTAAATTATTATGCATCTAATGCTGTTATAATGAGAAATAAGATTGTTGTAATCATTTGGAAATCCCGCGTAATACAATATAATGTATTAGGTTTCATAGGTGTTATTTATGCATTAAGGTTTCGCGATTTTTTTTAAATTACAGAATAAGGAAAACAAAAATTAGAATCATGAGTTCATAAGCATAAATTCATTTGATAATATTCAAATATGAACAAATCGCGATCCTGTGACGCGTCTCTTTTATTGATGGTTTCTAATGGTTAATGATTGACAAATTTATTAAATTGAAATAATAAAATCTATTTTCGATTATCTTTGATTACACATCTTTCTTTCGTGGAATTCCGTTTTTTTTCCCTTGTGTATCTTGAGTCCTTTAAATAATCTTATCTTATATTTAAATATTGTTTATATTATCTCGTTGACTGTACACGCATGTAATGTCTCCTGTTAATCGTTTGTCCTTCTGATGAAACAAACAAAAGAAGAGATAGGAAGCCGTTAAAATATGCCAAAATTGTATACATTTAAACAACATAATGACAATCAGAATTTAGAATTTCGAAGATTAATGCTATTAAAAAATAATAAATATGTAGATTTAAACTATTACGCTTTATCAGTTATCAGTTATAAAAAAGATGTGATATCATCCGCAAATCACAATTCCATGTGAGAATTGGAGATCCGATGTCAAATGAATATCTAACTGATCGGAAATACTGTATGATTAATAATTAACTGTTAATAAACAGTTTAAAATCACAGAAATTTCTGTCTACGTTTAATGATTAATAAGCTATATATATCAGTATATATATATTGTATGTCAATAATTCTATAACTTTTAAGTAAATTAGAATAAAATTAACTTATACGTACGATTATTACACTATATATATAATATATTTTATGTGTGTAGGTGTGTACCTACACCCTTACGCATTATCTTTTATTAAATTAACCTATTTTAATGATCCTGCTTTTTCATTATAATTTCCATAATTGAACTTCGCGTTTTAATCTGTTACACAATCACAAGCCATACTTAGGTACAACGCCACGTTACAAATCTATTTATAATTTCTTAACTTATTATGGTTAGATCCAAAAATAAAAAACAAACATAGCAAAAATTATTTTAAGCATTTTGTCAACACATACGGCCGACAGTAGGGGGCACAAAAGAAAAATCAAAAATCTAGAATTGCTATTGTTAGTAGTGAATAGTTAAATTAAGATTAATTTTTAAGCATTAAATAAATAAATTACCAAAAAGCGTGAAGCATTTCCATAGAAGTGATATAATATCAACTAATTCAATAATACAAATATATAATTCAATAATTCAAATAATTCAATATACGTATACGTAAAAATATGTATGTTGATCAAATAATAACTTTATGTATTCAACACTTCAAATATGTCGGTTAATTAATTTATAGGTTTTAGGTATATAATCTAATTTAATCTAATTTAATCTAATTTAATCTGATTTAATCTAATTTAATAAATTGATTAAGTAATTAAATTGCGTGATATAAAGTTTAGCCAGTAAAATACGTAAATAATTGTGATATATATATTTAATTAGTAATAATTTTAGGTAATTTAAACACTTATACGTACGTACGTACGTACGTATAATAAATAATTTTACTGTATCTGGTATGAAACATACATGAACCTCGATTTGGTGAATTTAGCTTTATATGTCAATTTAAAGAATTTACAAGTTTAATTAGGTGAATTTATAATATTTTTAATCCGAATTTTATACTTAAAATTTTGTTCGATTTATTTTATGCCACAATTTTTTTTTCTTGTCAATATCCCGTCATGGGACCTTCTAATTATGATGGATGACTTATGACAGATGACTATTACTAATGACTCTATGACGTTGGTGGATACATAATAGCATAATAGAAAAAGGTTCATATAATAGATTCCCTTATACAATTAAGAAGCAGTCAGGCAAAGATTTTTACGAAATTCGTGATCGTTAAATCCGCGTATATCATAAATAATATTATCAGTGATGATTAATGATTAATGATTAGCGAGGAAAAGATGAACGTAATTACATCATTTCCTAACATGACTAACAAAACTAGTATTAATTAATTCTTTTTTAAATTTGAATGATATATAAATTAAAAAAAATATTCGTACCCGTGATTGTCACTCAATTTAGGAATTAGAATGACCCAACCGTCACATGTAAGAACAGCTTTAATATTTAGCATTGAATTAAGAAAGATTCTAAATCAAATATACTTTAAAAGGAATGTTAAAAAGGAAGTATCGAAGCGCCATTTATTTTAGTTATTTATTAATTTTTTTTTAAAAAAAATTTTTTTCTTCCAATTTATTATTATTCATCACAACTATCACAAATCACAATTATCCACAATTATTCACAATTATTCAATACGTTCACTACTATTCACCAATTCATTTAAATTTAGATCATATAATAACCCTACATTTTAAAATATATAGTATTTACGCTTTTTAAATTAAAAATTCACATTATTCGCAACTGCTCACTACTATTCACTACAATTCACTACAATTCACTATAATTCACTACAATTCATTAAAATTCTTTTAAATTTAGATCACACAGTATAATAACCTTACATTTAAAATATACATAAAATATATAGTATTTACGTTTTTTTTTAAATTAAAATTCACGCCAAATTGTATAAATAATAAAAATACCCCTAAAGAATTTCCGCTGCATAAAAGATGATATATTGGATAGAAAAGTACTCCTCTTCGAGGAACCGCATACAAAAGCATGCTGGCATACAATGATTGGAAATTTTCTCAATCACAAAGTTTATGCGTTCCTCTTTCAATGAACACTTTAAATCTATGTGCTGTGATCTCTTTACAATAAACATTCTTTTTCGACTTTTTTTTTCACTTACGGATTGATTTAAATGCGAAATTTATAAGCCACTCACATGATCCGTGCCTCTAATAACTACGGTATGTTACACGATACGACCATTCTAAGTCCAATGGAATATGAAAAGTGGGCTGTGTGACTGCATATATTTCGCATATGTATTTATTTCACAGACATGAATAAAAAAGATTAGCAAGGCATCCGCAAACAACCGCGCCTCTTCAAAATATGGTTCCGTGTTCAGCCGTGTATAAGTAAATTGGTTTAGGTAGGAGTGATTGAGTCGTGAATTCACAGATTGGGAAGTAGTGATGAATTAAATAAATTATAAATTATTAGATTAAAAAAAAAAAAAAAAATTGTTATATTTTTTTTAAATAATTTTTAATAATAATAAACGAAAATTATTTAGAAAAAAAAAGTAAATAACTAGTATATTTTCCAGTTTTTCCTTTTATTACGTTAGGTTAGGAATTAAAATACTTGTTATCATCTTGTTAAATAAATTAAATAAATTAAACACCAATATATATATATTAAAGAAAAAAAAAGCGATTTGCCGAATGTTTATCATTGATAATTTTGATATTGTTTTACTATTTTTTTTTTTTTTTTTTGTGTTCTATTGTAAAATAACATATTCGCAGATACCGCCCTTTTTCTGTTTACGGTGGTCACAATCGTTCACCCTGATTTGTTTTACAATAAAATTATATGTCCATTGATATTGTAACCAAATGGAATTTGTGAATTCTGTAGTTATTGTTACTCAATTCCTGTTATGTAACTCGGAGATTGAAATTGGAATAGCCACAAGGTATTCCATACCAATCTATAAATTCACTGTCTAATCCCTTTTACCTTTTTTTTTTTTTTTTCAGAAAAAATTTCTCAAGGACTCCATCCTCCCTCTCTTTCCTCTTTTTTTCACGCTTTTTTTTTTTTTTATATTTTATATATATATATATATATACCATAAAATTCGACGGGGAATTTTTTTTAATATCTTAAAAAAAATTATTGTTAATATAAAATAAAATTGAATATACGACATAAAAAAATGTCAAGAGATATATACGAAGAAAATATTGCTAGACTGCCGAAGGCTTTACAGCCTCTTGCACAATTCATGGTTACGCCGTTGGTAGATCCACGAAAACAAAAAGAGTCGATACTCGCAAACCCATTTGCTTTCTTTACTTTTCTTACTAAGAAAAAAGTTCAACCAAAAGTTTTTATGTCCTTTAAAAATTTTAATGACATATCAATCGAATTTCTTGCAATGATTTGTAAACACCTTGAACCAAATGATATCTTTATGTTATCAGGGGTTTGCAAGAATTTACGAACTCTTTTGTTGGATCTTGAATCCCCAGCGACGCAGGAAATTTGGAGAAACTCAAGGCTTGAGTACTGCCCATTTTTACAATTATCCCCTCCCAAAGGGATGCAGGTTCGTAATTTATAAATTTTATAAATATATTCCCAATAAATTAATAATACTAATAATAATAATAATAATAATAATAAATTTTTAGGAACAAGAATATATTTCACTTTGCTCAACAGAGAGAGGATGTCAATTCTGTGGTCAGAGAAAACAATGGGTAAAAGTCTATTGGCAATTTAGAGTCAGAGCTTGTTATGAATGTTATCTACCAAGATTTGTCCGGTAAATTGATGACTTCTTTTAACTATTATTACTTACAATGCATTTATCTTTATTTAAGTCGCTCATCAATTTTTAAACTATTTATTTATTTCAGAAATTCACATAGCAAGCATACTAAAAATTTCCAAAATACTTATGATAAAGAGGAAATTAAATTGCGTGAACATTATGACCGTCGAAGATTAGAACACACAATCAGCTTTAGAAAGGAACGACTTCAAGAGATAATTGAAGAGCTTGAGGCTGAACGAAAAGAATCGTCAGATGATGAAAGTATTCACTCGAACTCATCAAACTCATCATCTAAGTATGACGCACAACTTCTCAGAAAATGTCCAATAATTTCTGCAGAATGGAAAAAGTTCGATCAACCATTTACAAATAGAGATCAGTTAAGGTTCCGAAGAAAGCTTGATTACGAGTATCAGATCTTAGCCAAACATTATGTTTCATAATTTTATTTTATTATAAATTCTATTAAAAAAACAAAAAAAAACGAAAAAAAAAGAAAAAAAATTTTTTATATTACATTTATTTTTTATTTATCCCCTTTTAAGTTTCTTTAAGATGCAAGCCATCGCCCACAAAAAAAAAAAAAAAAAATTGTTATATTTTTTTTAAATAATTTTTAATAATAATAAACGAAAATTATTTAGAAAAAAA